CTTTAAATATTTCAAAATCTTTCTGCTATGCAGATGAGCACTTACATATACTGTACTGTATGTTTTTGGAGTAACAAGTATGTAAGTATGTTCTTGTTGCTTCTTATGTATTGCTTTGTTTTTCTTTCTTTTTTGCTTTTTGTATCCAATTGAGCCGGGAAATGCCCAGAAGCTCTGTACTGTCTTACATATACTGCTACAAAACACAATAAAATAGAATTAAAAAAAACAACACAGTGTGTATATATATATATTTCAAATGCTTTACAGGAACATCAGTCATATATGCATTGCTAGTCAAGTTATAAAAAAGATATGTACACCAAATCCACATTAAACTAAAGAACAAAATGATGTTCAAGAGGGTGGCAAACAAATGTGACAAATTTTACCTTTCAAATGTACATTTCTGAACAGCCGTGTTCATTTTTGTTTTGTACATTAAAGTAAACTTTTATTCTCTTGGAAGGAGTATCTCATTTTTTAAACTATTGCTGTGTCAACAAACAGTTCACATGTCTGCAGCTTTTACAATAAAGAATCCCTTCCATACATATCTTTCCCTCTACCCATAGCAGCCATCCTTCTATCTATGGTGACATCCTAAAAGAAAACAGCTTACTAATTCATTTTCTGTGTGTGCCATATATTTGTGCAGTAAACAGTAAGAACCTTGATCAACTTTAAAAAAAAATTGCTATCTGTGTTCCTGTTTAGGAGATTTCCCTCTTTTTCTGTTTACTTCATGTGTGTCAGACAGAACAGAAAATGACAGAACGTCTCCCCACATTTGATGGGTATAAGATAGAAGTTGAGGGAACTCTCCCAACATCCTGTTTGTTGGGTTTAAGATATCATGTGATGGAAATCTTGCAACATCCTATTTGATAGGTATCAGAACAGGAAGTCAGAGAAATCTCTCCACATCCTATTTGATGGGTATCAGAACAGGAAGTCAGAGAAATCTCTCCACATCCTATTTAATGGGTATCAGAACAGGAAGTCAGAAATTTTTCCACATCCTATTTGATGGATATCAGAACAGGAAGTCAGAGAAACCACTCCACATCCTATTTGACGGGTATCAGAACAGGAAGTGAGGGAAATCTTTCTGCTTCGTATTTGATGGGTATCATAACAGGAAGTCAGAAAAATCTCCACATCCTATTTGATGGATATCAGAACAGGAAGTCAGAGAAGTCTCTCCACATCTTATTTAATGGGTATCAGAACAGGAAATCAGAGAAATCTCTCCACATCCTATTTGATGGATACCAGAACAGGAAGTCAGAAATCTCTCCACATCCTATTTGATGGATATCAGAACAGGAAGTCAGAAATCTCTCCACATCCTATTTGATGGGTATCAGAACAGGAAGTCATAAATCTCTCCACATCCTATTTGATGGATATCAGAACAAGAAGTCAGAGAAATCTCTCCACATCCTATTTGATGAGTATCAGAACAGGAAGTGAGGGAAATCTCTCTGCATCCTATTTGATGGGTATCAGAACAGGAAGTCAGAGAAATCGCTCCACATCCTATTTGATAGGTATTAGAACAGGAAGTCAGAGAAATCTCTCCACATCCTATTTGATGGATACCAGAACAGGAAGTCAGAAATCTCTCCACATCCTATTTGATGGGTATCAGAACAGGAAGTCAGAGAAATCTCTCCACATCCTATTTGATGGATATCAGAACAGGAAGTCAGAAATCTCTCCACATCCTATTTGATGGGTATCAGAACAGGAAGTCAGAGAAATCTCTCCACATCCTATTTGATGAGTATCAGAACAGGAAGTGAGGGAAATCTCCCTACATCGTATTTGATGGGTATTAGAACAGGATGTGATGGAAATCTTTGCGCACTCTCTTTTTGGAAAGGTATCAGATTGAACAGAGAGTCAGAAAAATCTCTTCATATCTTATTTGATGATTATCAGAAGAGGAAATGAGGGAAATCTCTCCATGTCCTATTTGATTGGTATCAGAACAGGAAGTCAGAGACATCTCTCCACATCCTTTTTGATGAGCATCAGAACAGAAAGTGAAGGAAATCTCTTTGCATCTTATTTGATGGATTTCAGGACATGATGGAAATTATTCCACATCTTTTTTTTTATGGGTATCAGATTGAACAGGATGTCAGAGAAATCTCTCCACATCCTATTTGATGAGTATCAGAACAAAAAGTGAGAGAAATCTATCCGCATCGTATTTGATGGGCATCAGAACAGGATGTGATGGAAATCTTTCTGCATCCTTTTTTTGATGGGTATTAGATTGAACAGGAAGGCAAATAAATCTCTCCACATCCTATTTGATGGATATCAGACCAGGAAGTGATGGAAATTTCTCCACATCCTATTTGATGGGTATCGGAACAAAAAGTGAGGGAAATCTATACGCATTGTATTTGATGGGTATCAGAACAGGATATGATGGAAATCTTTCTGCATCCTTTTTTTGATGGGTTTCAGATTGAACAGGAAGTAAGAAAAATGTCTCCACATCCTATTTGATGGATGTCAGAACAGGAAGCGATGGAAATCTCTCCACATCCTATTTTATGAGTATCAGAACAGGAAGAGATGGAAATCAATCCAAATCCTTTTTTTTTATGGGTATCAGATTTAACAGGAAGTCAGAAAAATCACTCCATATCCTATTTGATGGGTACCAGAACAGGAAGTATTGGAATTCTCTCCACATCCTATTGATAGGTATCCGATAGAACAGGAAGTGAGGGTAAAACTCTGTTAATGCTATAAAAACAGCCAATGCTTTTTGGGAGTTCCAAGGGCTCCCTTCATCATGGCTTAATAATACTAAAAAGGAAAGTCTGGGCAAAAAAATAACTTCTCCAGTCTGCAGATGGCATGCTTCCTCTGTGCCTCTCTGTGCATTTACTGTGCACAAAGAAAGAGGTTCACTGTTACAAGTAATTACATTGTGTTAAAAATATACAATGTAAATACATTTTAAATAATGCGATTAAAAACTGTTGTGTGAAAAATACCCAGAACCTTTCTTTCCCGTTTGCTGTCTTATAATAACACATAAGCAGGGTATTTATTAAAACAGTATTCCCAGTAAATGCTGTTTATGTTCTTATTAAATTTAACTAGGTAGGCAAATTAGTCCTAGAGTTATTGCCAAGTTAGTTGGCACATACTGCCTCTTCCTCAGCATCCAAACAATAAACATCCTCAATTCACAACCGTGAGTGATCTTTCTGTCAGGGATGCGGGTGTGACCAGAGGGTGTGTGGACTGACACAGGGAAACGCAGGCTTCAGATATGGTATAAATAAGACAATTTATTAAGATTAACAATACAAACATAAACGCAGTGCACCAAACCCCAAGCTAACACATATACATACAACAAGGTGAAACAAACCCAAACCTAAACTGATATAGATACACAGGTACATACACATATAGAGCACAACGTAGTCAGGCAGGCCGGGTCGATAACTATCGGGCAGGTAGGTACAGGAGGAGCAGGCGGAGAGAATGGTCAGGGTCACAAGCCAGGGATCAAAACAGGAGAAGTCAGCAGAGGTCAGGATCAGGCAGGGTCGGCAACAAGTCAGGCAGAAACAGGAACAGGAACGCAGGTTACAAGATACAGGGGCCCATGGAAAAACACACACCAAGGCCCAGACTGCAAGTCTGGCCATCCCTTAAATACACCTGCAATCAGCCCCAGGTGATGGCTAATTGCCGAAGTGAACCTCTGGTTGTTGAGAGCACCCGCTGGCCAGCCCTGGTACTGCAGCCCACAAGGCAGGTGAGTCCCACCACTACTGGCAAGTCCATTCCTGACACTTTCCCTCCTAGCTCATTGGATGTTCAATTTTCAAAACGTCCAAACGATATCCTCCTCTTCATCTTTATTCCTCAAACAATGGATTAAAGTTGAAGAGGAGGATATTGTTTGGAAGTTTTGAAAATTGAACATCCAATGAGCTAGGAGGGAAAGAAAGATCACTCACGGTTGTGAATTGAGGACATTTATTGTTTGAGTGCTGAGGAAGAACTTTATATTTTGAACTTCCTTTGAAGACATATTTTCACGGAGTTTATGGTTTAATAGTATTTAGGGTTAATTGGTTTCCAATTTACACATACTGCTTCTGTTAAGTTTGGTCTGGGTGTCACGAAGTGGCCAAAAGCTTGTTTACATCAACAATCACAACTATATGAGGTATATCAGGGAACGGGGTTCACTCACCTTCATAAAGACTCCCGAGATTTGTTAGCCATACATACAGCCTGTTTTTTATCAGGTTAGGTTGATCCAACAAGATGCTTGAATACATAGTATGGCCAAAAGTTTGTGGACATTTATTTGAGCGTTTGGACATTCCATTCCAAAACTATGACCCTTCATTTGGCATTGGCCCATCTTTGCTGCTATAACAGCCTCCACTCTTCTGGGAAAACTTTCCACAAGCTTTAGGAGTATGTCTTTGTGAACTTGTGCCCATTCAGCCAAAGAGCCATTTGTGAGGTTGGGTACTGATGTGTAATGATACATCCAATAGGTATCCTAGTTCATCCCAAATGTGTTCAGTAGAGTTGAGATCAGGGCTCTGTACGGGACACTCTAGTTCCTCCACTTCAAACTCATCAATCCATGGGAGTTATTTACTAAAACTGGAGAGTACAAAATCTGGTGCAGCTTTGCATAGAAACCAATCAGCTTACAGGTTTTATTTCCAAACCTTAATTGAACGAGCTGAGGTTAGAAGCTGATTGGCTGCCATGCACAGCCGCAGCAGATTCTGGGTGCTCCAGTTTTAGTAAATCTACCTCCACGACTTTATGGATCTGGCTTTATGCTCACAGGCACAATCATACTGGAATAGCACAGAAAGTGGCCTTCCCCAAACTGCTACCAACAGATCATGAACACAATTGTCTAAAATGTCTTTGTATGCTGTAACATTAACAGTGCCCTAAAGCTGATTTCCGTGTTTCATTGACCTTTAATGCGGGGTTCCACTCGACCTATCAAAAAATAAAAGTCAGCAGCTACAAAAACTGTAGCTGCTGACTTTTAAAAAACAGCCACTTACCTGTCCCTCGGTCCCATGGGTGTGTCCCCCGCAGCTCGTTTCACCGGCCGTCCTGTATTCCAGGAGGCCGGCATCTTCAGTGTGGGCACCCGGCTGTGATAGCATGCGGCTTCACAGCCGGGTGCCCATTGTGCATGCGCGAGTAGAGCTCAGCTTCGTGAATGGTCCTGTAGTCTTCTGGGACCTGTCACGTGTCCCAAAAGACTACAGGGAGGGAGGACACCTTCCGCCGCGATCGGACCGGAAGTGGGAACCTGTCAAATTCGGGTACCCGCTCCCCTGCCTGCCGCTCTCCAAAGGTGCCAATCTTTAATGGGGAGAGGGGGAGCAGTCCTTCAAGCGGAACTTCCCCTTTTGGTAGTTAGTTTTGCCAGGGTAGTCCAAACAATTTACTTCACTAACAGAAGAAGTGGCTCTATGTGCTTCATAAACTGTATGTAATTTCAGCTACATACAGTAGGATTGTGTTCCGTCAGTGCAGATACTCAACATGTCAAGCCTTAAATTTGCGTGCGCCTGTGAAATGGCGACAAACTTCGGTGCTCTATATTTTTCATAAGTGATGCTTTAGAAGCCCCCTACAGGTCATCAGTTTAGTGTTATGGAGGAGGTCTGGTGCTAGAAATATTGTTCTCACTCCAGCGTGCGCGGCGATATGTAACGTGTATTGCAATCAACATTATCATGCCTAGGTGCCCCCCAACACGTATGTTTATGTTTGTATGTAGGCAGCGGTGGACTGACAACTCATGGGGCCTCTGGGCAATAGGGGATCATGGGGCCCCTGTGTCCTTGCCCAAACTCAAAAAAGCCTATGAAAAAGGTACCAGGGGCATCTCATGGGGCCCCCTACTGACCCCGGGCCCTCGGGCAGTGCCAGAGTTTCCAAATGGTCAGTCCGCCCCTGTATGTAGGGGTGGGGGGGCCTCAAAAATCTGGAGGGGATTTTATGTGCTTGGGGGTCATTTATGACAATGAAAAAAAAATATTTTTACCTTTTTTTGTTTTCTGTCATATAGAGGACAGAAAGTTCCCTATGTGATGATTTTTTTTGGTGACAGGTTCTCTTTATTTGAAACATCCAGGGTCTAATCAAGAAGTAAAAAGGTGACAGGGGAGAGAGCTCCAGCATACAGCCTGTGATTGACAGCCTCACTTCTGTCCCTGTGTGTTGTGTAAAGGGGGGGGGGGTATCCAATCAGAGCTCTTGTATAGTGTCTAACTGCAACTCCCCACCCCCTGCTTTGTGAGTCTTGTTAAACAAAAGGCTTTTTCAAAGGATGTACAGGACAAATGTCTGTAGATAAACAGATACAACTTATGTAGGAGGATTTATGTCATCTCTGTGTATCACCTGAGGCCAGTCACTTCACTGGGTATAGGTAAGGGATTACAACCATTTTAACTGAATCACTTGGAGATGTGTACACATACTTTTAGCCATATAGGTCGCAGTGATGGTTAGGTGTTCCCAAACTTTTGCCTATATAGTGTAGGTTTCAATGGGCTCTGGTCGTGAGGGAGTTAAAAGCACCTTTCATGAAAAATGTGTTTAGGGCATGCATGCAAACACGGGTCACCCTCAACTGCTGCTTCCTGTGCCTGAATGAAAAGGATGCAGGCTAGAGATGGGCACCGGCGGTCTGACCACATCCTGACCACACGGAGTAATGAGAACTGTGTCTGCAGAAAATGTCCAGGTGACCACCACGTCACCTGCCTGATATCTGAACCAGACACACTTCCTGTATGGTATCACCACCCTGTCCATGTCTGTTGTGCGGCTGTGTTGTCTCATTCCGCTACTCTGCATGGTTAATGTCGCTGCGAGCACAAAGAACCCTGGCGCCTTTTGTAGTTAAATTCCAGTGTATAAAAGTTGCAGCATTAAAGTGACCCTGTTGCTTTGCTAAAAAAAATTGAGGCAGCTGCACCCCATAATAAAAGAAAAAAAGGAGTGGGGAGCAGTGATGTCATGATCTCCACCGCATCCAATCAGAGAATTTTTGCAGTCATTGAAATAAAACCAAAGAATGCTTGGTGTAAATGGCACGTGTTCAGAGAGAGCGACTGCCTGTGTTCAGAGAGAGCGACTGCCTGTGTTCAGAGAGAGCGACTGCCTGTGTTCAGAGAGAGCGACTGCCTGTGTTCAGAGAGAGTGACTGCCTGTGTTCATCATGCAGGAGGGCAGCCATGACTATAAGAGTGATTCTCCATCATCCCAGTGGGCCGGCAGGTATGGAATGTGTATACTTACATTGGTCTAAGTTGGACCAAGGTAACTGCAATAAAATCCTAGAGTTCGGCTTCAAGACTCGCATTTCTCTTTTTGTTTTTTTGTGACATTGTCACCAGAAGGAACACAAACGACAATAATACAAAACTAAAGACAAACAAAAAAAAAAAGGATTTGGCTAAGCGAAGCTTTAATCCCTCGTCTACCAAGGTATGATAAAAACGGTAAGGAAGACAAGTGTTTCAATCAAGCTCACGGTTGCTGCTGCAGCTGTCAACTTGGTACCAGCTTTAGGAGCCGGCGAAGGGATTTTCAATAAAAGTGATCCGGGTGGCTCTAGATCACCTTTATGGGGCTCTCAAAGGGGGCATCTGTTCCCTGGTCCCTCTTTTGACTGAACCCGGAAGTGTCATGCATTACGTCACTTCTGGGGTCACAGCTGTCAGCTAGGATGCAGCTATTCAAAGGTGATATGTGTTTGAATAGCTGCATTGGAGGGCAGGGTCTAATAATGTCCCAATAAAAAGGACCTGTCACTTGCCCATGGTATCACATAGGGGGCTTGTAGTTAAAACAAAAAACAAAAAAAAACAAACTCTTGTTTGTTAAAGTGGTTTTAAACCTCAGACAAGAAATATGAACAAAGCATATCCCTCTATAGTGTGTGCTTGTCTCAATCCAGAGCTCTAAGTGTCATATTTCTTTGCTGCCTACTTCCTCTGCTATCAGCATGAGTTATTTCTGGGTTTTATATAGTATTGTCTGTTTGCACTAAAATTCATTTTAGTGTATTTTTTGTGACAATATGTGTTTGATAAATACACTATATTGCCAAAAGTATTGGTCGGCCGGCCTTTCCACACACATGAACTTTAATGGCCCCCCAGTCTTAGTCCGTAGGGTTCAATATTGAGTTGGCCCCACCCTTTGCAGCTATAACAGCTTCAACTCTTCTGGGAAGGCCGTCCACAAGGTTTAGGAGGGTGTCTATGGGAAGGTTTGATCATTCTTCCAGAAGCACATTTGTGAGGTCAGGCACTGATGTCGGGGGAGGAGGCCTGGCTCACAGTCTCCACTCTAATTCATCCCAAAGATGTTCTATGGGGTTGAGGTCAGGACTCTGTGCAGGCCAGTCAGGTTCCTCCACCCCAAACTGGCTCCTCCATGTCTTTATGGACCTTGCTTTGTGCACTGGTGTGCAGTCATGTTGGAAAAAGAAGGGGCCATCCCCAAACTCTTCCCACAAAGTTGGGAGTATGAAATTGCCCAAAATGTATGCTGATGCCTTCAGAGTTCCCTTCACTGGAACTAGGGGGCCAAGCCCAACCCCTGAAAAACAACCCCACACCATAATCCCCCCTCCACCAAACTTTACACTTGGCTCAATGCAGACAGCCAAGTACTGTTCTCCTGGAAACTGCCAAACCCAGACACGTCCATCGGATTGCCAGACAGAGAAGCATGATTGGTCACTCCAGAGAACACGTCTCCACTGCTCTAGAGTCCAGTGGCCGCGTGCTTTACACCACAGCATCTAATGGTTTGCATTGCACTTGGTGATGTAAGGCTTGGATGCAGCTGCTCGGCCATGGAAACCCATTCCATGAAGCTCTCTACGCACTGTTGTTGTGCTAATCTGAAGGCCACACCAAGTTTGGAGGTCTTTAGCTATTGACTCTGCAGACAGTTGGCGACTTCTGCGCACTGTGCGCTTCAGCATGTGCTGACCCCGCTCTGTCATGTGACGTGACCTACCACTTGGTGGCAACCTATCACGGGACCACGCTTGGAATCACTGACCTCCTGAAAGCGACCCATTCTTTCACAAATGTTTGTAGAAGCAGTCTGCATGCCTAGCTGATGATTTTATACACCTGTGGCCATAGAGGTGATTGGAACACCTTAATCACATGATTTGGGAGGGGGGTGGCCCAATACTTTTGGCAATAGAGTGTGTGTGTGTGTGTGTGTGTGTATATATATATATATATATATATATATATATATATATATATATATATATATATATACACAGTGGGGCAAAAAAGTATTTAGTCAGCCACCAACTGTGCAAGTTCTCCCACTTAAAAAGATGAGAGAGGCCTGTAATTGGCATCGTAGGTAGACCTCAACTATGAGAGACAAAATGAGAAAAAAAACCCAGACAATCACATTGGCTGATTTGGAAAGAAATTATCTGCAAATTATGGTGGAAAATAAGTATTTGGTCAATATCAAAAGTTCATCTCAATACTTTGTTATATATCCTTTGTTGGCAATGACAGAGGTCAAACGTTTCCTGTAAGTCTTCACAAGGTTGGCACACACTGTTGCTGGTATGTTGGCCCATCCTCCATGCAGATCTCCTCTAGAGCAGTGATGTTTTGGGTCTGTCGCTGGGCAACACGGACTTTCAACTCCCTCCAAAGGTTTTCTATGGGGTTGAGATCTGGAGACTGGCTAGGCCACTCCAGGATCGTGAAATGCTTCTTACGAAGCCACTCCTTTGTTGCCCGGGTGGTATGTTTGGGATCATTGTCATGTTGGAAGACCCAGTCACGTTTCATCTTCAATGCCCTTGCTGATGGAAGGAGGTTTGCACTCAAAATCTCACGATACATGGCCCCATTCATTCTGTCCTGTACATGGATCAGTCGTCCTGGTCCCTTTGCGAAGAAACAGCCCCAAAGCATGATGTTGCCACCCCCATGCTTCACAGTAGGTATGGTGTTCTTTGGATGCAACTCAGCATTCTCTCTCCTCCCAAACACAACGAGTTGTGTTTCTACCAAACAGTTCTATTTTGGTTTCATCTGACCATATGACATTCTCCCAGTCCTCTTCTGGATCATCCAAATGCTCTCTAGCAAACTTCAGACGGGCCCGGACATGTACTGGCTTAAGCAGGGGGACACGTCTGGCACTGCAGGATCTGAGTCCCTGGCGGTGTAGTGTGTTACTGATGGTAGCCTTTGTTACGTTGGTCCCAGCTCTCTGCAGGTCATTCACTAGGTCCCCCGTGTGCTCCTGGGATTTTTGCTTACCTTTCTTGTGATCATTTTGACCCCACGGGGTGAGATCTTGCGTGGAGCCCCAGATCGAGGGAGATTATCAGTGGTCT